TCATCACAATCTTCATCACAANNTCTTCATCACAATCTTCATCACAATCGTCATCACAATCGTCATCACAATCATCATCACAATCTTCATCACAATCTTCATCACAATCTTCATCACAATCGTCATCACAATCTTCGTCATCGTCATCATCACAATCGTCATCACAATCATCACAATGTTCGTCATCATCGTCATTAGGAGCGTTCCCGTGTCAAGAAATCCGGTTCATTCTGAGCCGAGATATTGGGTTTTTCATCATCCAAGTGTTTATCCCAAGCATCCTGGTCGTCATTCTCTCCTGGGTTACCAATATTCTCATTGCTCATTCATTCATATCATTTGTATTGCTTTTATTCTTATTATTTATTGTTATTATTATTATTATTATTAGTAGTAGTAGTAGTAGTAGTAGTAGTAGTAATAGTAGTAGTAATAGTAGTAGTAGCAGTAGTGTAGTAGTAGTAGTATCAGGACCGCATTAAACTTTAACTGTCACCGAAAACATGCTTCCATGCGTGTGTCTCCTTGCACTCAATATTTAAAATGTGTAGTGTACAAATTTGTAGGACGCCTTATGCCGTGAAGGTACATGAGATAGGTTGACTTAAATGAACTAATTGTACAAAATTTCGAGCTTTCGTACACAAATTATTTACACACATTTTATTATTTACAAATGATTGTGAGAGTAAGAATAGAAATTAAAGTTTGCATAATTAGACCAACATTTCAAACATTAAAAAATATCACAATCAATCTCTGCCTCTCACTCTCCGACTCTTTCTCTCTCTCGTCGTGATCGTCTTTCCTTTCCATTACTATCTCCATATTTTAGTTGGTTTTTTGACCTCACTAACTCTGGGCTTTCTCACGATTTTGATGTCCAGATACTTGGAAGCCACAAACTTCCACTTCCGGGCAGGATTTTTTGCTGTCCCGGCACTCCCACACTTCACCGCATTCTCCTCCTCCTTCTTGCACCCTTCTGCCTTCAACTTGTTTTTTCCTGGGTGTCTGCTAGTCGGGACTGCCTTGTTCCCATTTTGTTCCGTGGGTTTGTTCGTCGGCGTTGTGTCCTTGTCTTCAACGCTCCCACAAAATGCTCCCACAGCGATCTCATTTTCCTCCACCACCATTTCATCTTTTTTGAGGTTGGCCGCGAGTTTCACGATGCTCTCATCCCACGGCAACTCTCCAGCATCATGGTCGTATTCGTCAGTTTCTCCTTCATCTATGTTGTCCAGAGGCGGGAGAAAGTAGCCGGCATACTTCGATTTTTCATTCAAGCGATTGTGCGCTCGTAATGAAAATATTGCTGCCTTTGATGGTCTGTCCAAGTTTTCATCTTCTAGAATTCTCGTTGAACTGGTCGCATTCATGGAGCTCATGTCTGGTGTGTCTACAGTAATGTTCAACCTGGAACTCGTTGAAAAGTTGAACGAGTTGAACGTTGAATAGTTTTTCAGCTCCTGGCCGTCAATGATTGTATCACTGAAGCGAACTGATTTCTTCGGTTTCTCCGAACCTTCAGCAGATGTCAAAGCAGATCGAAGAAACGAATCTTCTTTGGTAACTTGGAACGTGTCCGTCGTTCCAGTTCCATCCTCGTCATCTGACACCGTAATTGTTGATGCTGGATTTGCCGCATCTCCACCTTCTGCTGCTGTTTGGGGAACCCTCAGCAGTGCAAGTGGCGACACGAGCCACCGATCTTTCAAACCACTTTTGTACGCTTCGTAGTCCTCGTTTCTCATCCTAACGGGTGGACTAAAGAAGCATCCAGACTCGTCACCACGTCTCATTCTTTCCAAATTCATTTTTTCTAATTTTTTTTTATTTGCTTTGAAAGATAAGATCGGCTACGAAGAAATTGTTGAATAAGTTCTGACTCTCCGGAGTTTATATAGACGCCCTGTAGGTTTACAATTCCCTTGAATGTTTACAAGCAATACAAATATATCAAACTTCCATCTTTTTATCGAATCAATTTGCCAGCTGTCACAAAATCACTTTATTGTCGTTTAACGATCGCTATCCAGCTAAACTGCTCGTAAGTTGATTAATAATAAAACAACGTTAATTCGGAGAGAATAATAAAATCATAAGAATGGGTCATTAAAATGTTATTTAGTTAATTAATAGCCTTTTAATTATTTCAAATTAATAAATAAAGTAAAACTCACTTATGATGTCATGTAGAGTGCAAAATTTCATCTTTCACGAAAACATAAAAAATCTAGAGATGCAGTTGCAGGCATCTACAGCAGAGCCTCCAGTGAAAGCGGGTATACATGATAAGATAAGATGACTCTATACGTACATGTTTAGTTTCATTCGTGAGAATGTTGAAACGTTTGGGAATAAAACTCAACAGTTATCAAATACGTCACTCGAGTTCTGTAAATCTTACATTTCAGTCATTAAATTAAGCAGTTCATCATCTATCATCGTCTGACTTTCTCGTAAATCAACGTAAAATTTTGTCTTAATTTTAGGTATACTTTTATATATCTTCGAAATTTGTATTTATTTTTAGAAACCTTTCAGCAAACTAAAAGTCTGCATTTCGTGCGAAGAATTTAACTTTTCTTCGTGTCAAAACATTTCGATTTTGTTAAATTATGCGTATTTAAATTTACAAAATTGCTGCATAAATCAAATGAAATGGTTGTTGAATCGCCACGATTTTGTGGAATGGAGCGCAGCACGGTGGCTGTTGTTATTTTTTCCTAAAAGGTTTCGTCATCCCGTTTTAGAAAAGCAAGGCGCACAAAAATTATGGATCTCTAGACATTTGCCTCATCTGCCTATTCGTTGATTCGGTTCTGGTAGCAGTGGTAGCAGCAGCAGTAGTAGCAGCAATAGTAGTAGTAGCAGCAGCAGTAGTAGTAGTAGTAGCAATAGCAATTGTAGTAGTAGAAATTTTAGTTTTAGTAGTAGTAGTGGTAGTAGAAATAACATCTTCTAGGACAACTTTTTATCGTCTTCACTGGGATTATTTGCATATTTTTCTGGCATAACCATCATCATCATCATCACTATCATCATCATCATTATCCGAGACAGTATCATCATCATAATAAACAACAAGGACAACATCATCACCACCACCACAACAACCACCGTCATTATAATCATCATCATCATCAGGTCAGTTTTTGGATAAACATAGATGGGGTGCCGGCCAGGGTATCAATCGGGTTGCTGACCGTACTGACGACAACTACACAGAGTTCAGGAATCAACGATCAACTGCCCAAGGTGGCCACCATCATCATCGTCACCATCATCATCACCATCATTATCATCATCACCACCATCAACATCATCTTTATTATCATCGTCAATCACATTATCATCATCATCATCATTACCATCATCATTGTCATGGTCAATCACATCATCACCATCATTACCATCATCATTATCATCATCAATCACATCATCATCTTAATTATCCTCACCATCGTCATGGTCAATCGCATCATCACCAATGATAACAATACAAACGATAGGTCTCCTACATCAAGGCCATAGATGTGTGGATGATAATGTGTCTCATTTTCGTCTTTGCGGCCCTCCTAGAATACGCCTTCGTCAATGTGGCCTCGAGGAACGGGGCCCACGTCAGACAGCCCATAGTAAGACAGGCCCCACTTGAAGGCGTGGTTATCTCGGAGCCAGCCAATCACGTTCAGTATCCGGTTAACTGGCTTATTTTTGTGTTCTAATGACTGTTTACGAGTTAAATATTTGTGGAATTGTTGTAAATATTTGGGTAAGTTCTTTATGTAGTTTTTCGTTATTCATTCATTCATTTATTCATTCATTCGTTCGTTCGTTCGTTCGTTCGTTCGTTCGTTCATTCAATCATTCTTTCAAACTGATTTTTTTCAACTCAACAGAAGAGAAAGTTTCGAATCTTACTACTTCCGTGCTGGAAGGTAATGAATAAAAAAAAGAATTTAAAATATTATGCCATAATTTATTTTTATTATGAATATAATTATGGAGTAATGACTCGGTAGATAGATGCTTCGTACTAAGGAATACAAAGAAAGGAATTTAAAAAAAATATATTATTATGATAATTTTATTTTATCATAATTGTAATTTATTTTATTATGATTGTATTTAATTTATGTTATGATCATAATTTATTATTTTATAATCATAATTTCATAATTATCATGATTTCATTTTATTACGATCATAATTTTGTTCTATTATGACAATAATTAATTACATTATAATCTTAATTCTGTTTTATGACAATTATAATTTTATTTTATTATGATCATAAATTATTTATAGTCTTTGTGTAAACCGGAAACGCCACGCTTTACGCGTATGATTGATGTGGAGGGTAGCAAGAGGAGGGCCCGGCAGATCGATAAGATGTCTAGGAAGGTGGGGTTTTCATTCATTTATTCATTCGTTCGTTCGTTCGTTTATTCATTCATTCATTCATTCGTTCGTTCGTTTGTTCATTCATTCATTCATTCATTCATCCACTCAAGATCTTCCCTCTCTCCTTCCTCTTCTTCAACATTCTCTACTGGGTCACATGCACCGCACCGACGGGCATCGAATTCGGGGTGAGTGTAAAAATGAAAAATAATAATAATTATTATAATTATAATTAAAACAATAATAATAATAATTATTATGATTAAAATAATAATAATAATTATTATTATAATAATAACAATAAATGGTTTTTAAACAGTCAAAAAGCGCAAGTTCCGGGACGTGAATTACGTGAGAAAGAAGATGCCGGTGAATGAATGAATGAATGAATGAATGAATGAATGAATGAATGAATGAAATAATGAATGAATGAATGAAATAATGAATGAATGAAATAATGAATGAATGAAATAATGAATGAGTGAACGAATGAATGAATAAATGCGTGAATAGTGAAGGAATGAATGAACGACTGAACGAACGAGGAAACGAATAAATGAATACGTGATGAATTAATGATGGAGAGAAAGAGAGAGTGAATGAAAGAGAAGAAAATGAAGAAATAAAAAATGAAGGAATAACATGTAATATCGGAAAGCTTTCAACTACTGCTGTTACCATCATCATCAACAACAACATCATCATTATCAACAATATTATTATTATTATTTTTTATTATTATTGTTGTTGTTGTCGTCGTTGAAACATTTTATAATGTGTGTGTACACTCGTCTTTTTGTATTTGCTTGTATTAAGTGACATTAAAAACATTGTATATATACACAAACATTGTTTTAATAAATCCAAACGCTCTATCACTATTCCTCCTATTATCTTACCTGACTCTAAAACTCTTGATGTCTCTCATAAGTTTCGTAGTCTAGGCTTTATCTTTGATTCTACTATGTCTCTCTCTTCTCAGATTAATAGTGTTGCTAGAAGCTCTTACTTTCATCTACGTAGAATAAAAAAACTTTTGCCTTTTCTTGACGATCCTACTCTTCTCCTTCTTGTTACTTCGTTAGTTTTATCTAGGATTGGTTATTTTAACTCGCTCTACTATGGTCTTCCTGACTCTATACTCTATCCTTTAAGTAAAGCTTTTAACTCTGCTGCTCGTCTAGTTGCTTGTGCCCCTTTCTTTTCTCATATATCTCCATATCTTGTTCTCATACCTATAAAATATAGAATAATTTTTTAAAATTTGCATATTTATGTATAAGTCTCAATCTAAATTATTTCCTATGTACTTATCAGATATATTAATTGAACCTAAACGCCCCAGTTTACGATCGTCTTCTTGTTCTTACTTCTTCTTAACTTGTGTTAAACACTCTTTTGCTAAATCTGCATTTGCTTTTTTTGGCCCTTTTCTCTGGAACTCTCTACCTCCTTCTCTGACTACTTCTCCATCACTTAGGAAGTTCAGAGCGGATCTCAAGACCCATCTGTTTGCAAAATTCATTGAGGAGCGCTGTTGAACATCGCGGAAATAAATAAAACAAACAAATATCCAAACATACATTCTTATTTATATGGATTTTAAAAGGTTTTTTAGATACAATATTGACTTAAATTTCTATATATTACACCCCAAAAAAATACTGTTAATAATTTTTAAAGCATTATTATAATTAATATAGTTAATAATAATAATAATTATTATTATATTATTATTATTATTATTGATTTAGTAATAGTAATAGTAGTAACATCAGTAGTTCATTTTTAATTTTACGATTAACTTTTTTTGTGCATTTCTAGACATTTCTTTCTCATTTGTCATTGAATGAATGAATGAATGAATGAATGAATGATTGATTAATTGATTGATTGGTTGGTTGGTTGGTAGGTAGGTTGGTTGGTTGATAGGTAGGTAGGTTGGTTGGTTGGTTGGTTGGTTGGTTGGTTGGTTGGTTGGTTGGTTGGTTGGTTGGCTAGTTGGTTGGTTGGATGGTTGATTGATTGATTGATTGATCGATAGATTGACTGATAGAACAAATAAATAGATAAGTGAATGAATGAATGCAGAAATGAATGTGAATGATAGAATTCAAGGATAGATAAATAACATAAAGCATTTTTGTTTCTCCTTATTTGAATTGTACCCCTTATACCATATCATTATGTACAATAATTATAATCGTAATAATAATTATTATTGTTATTAGTTTTGTTGTTGTTATTATTATTTTAACCACCTAATACATACCTAAACTCAGGCCATTGTTATTATTATTATTATCATTATTGAACTTGAATTTTATTTCTACAACTATTGTTTGTTTGTTTGTTTTCCCCAGAAAAGATTACAAATAGAAAATTTACCTTCGTTTTTCGTCGGATGTTCGGCGCTATATAACCCATCAAAAATTTGTAATTATCCAGCGCTACATAAATCAGTGAACTGTGGAACGACTAGCTAATTGGCGCTACATAAATAACCAAAAACACAATTTAATCAGAGCTCCGCTTAATATAAAGTGAATTTAATTTGGTTTATATTACAAAAGGCTTCGCTAGCATCAACAACAACAACACAAATTACAACAACAACAGTAATAATAACAATAACCACAACAACACTAATAACAATAATAATAACCACAACAACAATAATAACATACCTGAAAACAGTAAAGTTAAGCTTACAGGAAAAAACGAACACAATTAAATTGAATAAAACCTCGACATAAAGCTCCAAACTAAATTTAAATTGTCCTTTTAACAGCGGTTTTATTAAGACAAATTTCCCTATTTTTTCATTTTTATCTTTACTCTCTCTCTCTCTCTCTCTCTTCTTTCTCTCTCTCTCTCTTTCTCTTTCTCTCTTTCTCTCTCTCTCTATTTATCTAACTATCCTTGAGTATATAGGTGGATATATATGTATGTATGTGTGATTATTTGTGCTATGTATAAGCGTTATATACTACGGTTTTTAAACGTATTAATCGAGTTGCTTTTAAATATTTAACCGACAGTCATTCCTAGAACAATGCCACAGCTTAATCAAACATTGCGCTCTGGCAGTTCAGGTTCACTGTTTGTATCTGACACAAACTTTGCCCTTGGTCGAAGGAATTTTTCTGTAATGGGTCCTGCTATCTGGAATGGTTTGCCTATGTACCTTCGTGACCCTGCTTTGTCTGCAATTCAGTTTCGTTAGAGGCAGAAAGACCATCTTCTTGTTAAAGATTTTTTCAATTCGCGAGTTTAATTCATTTTAAATATTTTTTCCTGCTTCTCTCTCTATTTCTCTTTCTCTCTCTCTCTCTCTCTATTTTATTTTTTATGATCTGCTTTGTTTTACGCTCAGAGTGTAAAAAAACCTTTAGGTTGAATGATGGTGATAAGATTTTTTGAGGAATTTATTATTATTATTATTATTATTATTATTATTATTATTATTGTTATTATTGTTATTATTATCATCATCATCGTCGTCGTCGTCATTTTGCATTTTGTTATTATTGTCACAATAACTACTACTCCCGTAGCAATGCATTTTAATTGAATATGGATTTGTTTGTACGTGTGAAGTGAATGTATATACGTTATTGTATATATGCATGAGAGAAAGAGAGAGAGAGAGAAAAAAGAAAGACAGAGAGAAAGAAAGAGAGAGAGAGGAGAGAGAGAGAGGAGAGAGAAAGTGAGGGTGCGGAAAAATATTGAAATAAATAGACCATCTAAAAATGAGTTTCTCATTTGGTCGGCAGTGACTAGCGTTCATTTCGTCTGATCGTAAAATTGTTCTATTCGAAGTTTAATCTGTTAGATTTGTTGTTTCTATTTTTCGCTTCTTATATTTCTAAATTATGATTTTAATGTTAGAAATTAATTATATCGGGATTCATATGTATCTAATTGTTGTTGTTGTTGTTGGGAGAGGTGTGTCATCGTCATCTTCATAAAAAAAGCTAAGGTAACAATTTTTTTGTCGGTTAAAATAACAACAACAGGAACATCAAACACGTTAACAACAACATCACAACAACAACAACAGCAAGCAACAGCAACAACGTCAACATCAACAACAACGACAACATCAACATCATCAACAACAACAAAATCAACAACAACATCATTAAAATGAACAACACGACAAGTTTGACATCAACAATTTACGTCTCCAACATCAACAACAACATCAACACCGACGACCTTGACCTCAACAACATCTTACTAAACCTAACACACTCACACCAACCCTGGAATTATGACGTCACCAAACATCCAACAGTTCGCATCGTCATCGTCATCATCTACGCCACAATCGTTCTAGTCGGTTTTGTGAGTAACTTGGCGGTTATAATTATCGGTATGCAGTCTTGCCGGATAGTAAAAAATCGATTATCGGTTACGAGTATTTTGATAATCGTACTGGCTTGCTCCGACTTGTGTTTGTGTGTCTTTTGCTTACCGATTCAGTTGCATTACCAGCTGACGAACGATTGGCATCTCGGTGAAGTGATGTGCAAAATTGTTTTCTCAGCTTTTGCACTACCGATGTACGTGTCGGTATTTACGATCCTCCTAATTGCAATCGATCGGTATCGGTTAATTGTCTGCCCTCTGAAGAATCGAATATCGGTGAATGCAGCCTGCGTGTCCGTGCTACTGACGGTGATCTTTGCAGTACTCATGGCCTCACCGGTCATGTATTACTTGACGGTACTGAGAATCGAAAGTCCGACAAATATCGACGAATACCGAATACTGTGTGTGGAGGAGTGGAGCAGCGATTGGAGCATGGAAGTATATTCAGCTGTCACGTTTTGTTTCATGTACTGCCTACCGATGCTCCTCACCGGATACTTCTACCTGAGGATTTACTTGAGGTTACAATTCAGAAGTAGACTGAAAGTGAACGGCGGGAAAACTGACGATGACATAGGTGAAAGATTTGGCGGGAGAATTTTGGCGGGTAAAAATAATGACGATGAGGATGAGGAGGAGAAGGAGGAAAAAATTGCTAGGAAATCCAGTGAAAAATTTCAAAAAAAATGTCACGGTCGTCATGATCATAGTGGTAATAATAATAATAATAATAATAATATAAATAATATAAATAATAATAATATAAATAATAATAATAATATAAATAATAATAGAGATGTTAAGATATTTAGTAACTTTAGTTTTAAAGGAAGACATAGCAAAATATCATCTGTTAGAAGACGTGGGATGAGTTGCGAATGTTCCACTTGTAGTTGCAGCCGAAGCAGCGGCAACAACAACGACAACGACAACAACAAAAACAACTGTAGCGACATCAGTAACGAGAATATCAGGTTTGAATGCAATAGGGAAATAACCCGTGTCAGTACTTTATATAGTAATAAATCACAGATAAACAACAACAACATCAACAACAACAACATCATCAACAACAACGACAACAACGCCAACATCAACAACAACATCAACAAAATTAGCAACCTCAAACTCAATGGCATCAACAGTTCTTTAAGCATTCCCGCCGCATCGCTTTTTAAAAAACCGCCAAAACATCATCAACATCATCAGCAACAACAACATCAACAACAACATCATCAACAACAACAACATCATCATCAACAACGACATCATCAACCACAGCAACAAAATTATTATCAACAACAACAAATACATCATTATCACCAACAACAACAACAAAAACGTTGTCTGAAATCAGATCCTCCGCTTAAAAGCCACCCCCAAAAAACAATCAAAACATACAAAACGTTCAACATTCTCTTCCTAATCGTAACCAACTTCACATTGTGCTGGACCCCTTGGAATATATTTAGCCTGATCGTGGGCCTTCGAGCCCGTGTCGATTTCGGCCCTTATTTTACACTGGTGGACATTTTGTTGAAAGCATTCGCCATGCTATCCGTCTGCACGAATCCATTTTTGTACTGCTGGTTGAATGACCGTCTTAAAAAGGACTTCCGGTCGGCTTTTGTGAAATTCAAAATGGAGGCCTTCTTCAAGATGGCGTCCGTTTCCAGGATGGCGTCCGTTTTCAAGATGGCGTCAACTTCCGCCGGAAGTTGTAAGAGGAAGACGAGATCGTCAGTGGTCGTCGTCGTGATCAGGGCGGAAGTAAACGGCGATGTAAATAATAATAATAATAATAATAATATTAATAATAATAATAATAATAATGAAAATGATAACGACAAAACGGATAAATAATAACAATATTGATATTATTCGTATTGATTGAATTTGATGACTTCATTTTATTATTATTATTATCATTATTATTATTATTATTTATTATTATTATTATCAGCAACATCATCATCAGCATCTCTTCAGCAGTAGTAACATCAACATCATAATCATTGACTGAAATCGAATTGCTGTCTCGTACAAACACTTAATATAGCACACACACACGCACGTACACACTACACAATACACACATACGCACACAAACAAACAAACACACACATATATACACAAACACATTTACACAAACACACACACAATACATATTATCGGCCTGATAACGATAAAGTTTTATGGTAGCAAGAAATAAGAATAATAATAAAAAAGCTGGGATATTCCATAAATAACATCACGATGTCTTTGACTATATTTATGTTCATATTATAATAATAATAAAAAAAAATAATAACAATATTATTATTATTATTGTTAATAGTAATAATAATAATTAATTGATTATTATTATTATTATCGCCCACATTATCTTTCAAATTTTGGGTGACTACTATCACACCCATCATCATAATCATAACCATCGTCCTTTGACCATCATAATCATCACCATCTTAACCTTCATCATCATCATCATCATCGCCGTCATGAAGACCATCATCATCACCATTACGAAGACCATTATCATCGTCATCATCAACATCGTCATCATCATCGTCATCATTATCATCATCAGCATCATCATCATCATCGACAGCATCACCGTCATAAAGCAAACAGAAGCATTATAAAGAAATTAATTGGTGGGAAAGTAAATTAATAAAAACGGGGAAAACAAATTGAGGGCAATAATAATAATAATAAATAATAATAATAATAATAATAAATAATAATAATAATAAATAATCTTAATTTGAAAAGACTTTTTTTTCCCACAGACAAATTTGCAGGGTTTTATTGCACACTTACATGATTTTTCGTGATTTTTCTATTTCCTGTCCAGCAAATATGCTAATGCTTTTTTAATTCTTTATCTTTTAGTTTCGATCTTCCTCTTTTTCTCTCACTTTTCTTCTCTCTCATCTCTCTCTCTCTCTTCTCTTTCTCTCTCTTCTCTCCCTTTTTCTCCACTGCTTAATAATGACCAAAATTAAATCTACCAAATCGCGAGAACAATTTTTAGCTGGGGGCGATTTATTTATTAAGCTTGGAAAAACTAGTATTAACAGCAATAACAAAAACAACAACAACAATAATAACAATAATAATATTTTGAATGATAATAATAATGATAAATCAAAATAATATTCATGAAAACAAAAAATTCAATTAGGCAACCGAGGAGCGTTATACGTACGAGGCAAACATGCGTTTAATCTAGATCAAGTTTTCTGTTTTTCTTCTTATTAATATCATTGGTTATTTATTATTATTATTATTATTATTATTATTATCATCATCATCATCACGTTGCTGTTTCGGTTTCAATAATTGGAATTAAATCTCTAAAACTTTGGTGTGTTGAGTTTATTTAAGGAACACCCTTATCTGCTGATTCTAAAGATGGCGACGACGATGATGAAGATGATGAAGACGAAGATGATGATGAGGATGATGTTGATGACGACGACGATGATAAAATTTAATAACGAAATCATAAAAAGACTGAATCAGCCTTGCTTTGCCTCGGAATTTTGAAAAAAAAATTTCAGAAAATGTCTTTTGCAATCATCATTAAACGTAAATTAGTTCGTCAGAATTCATAATATATGTCCGCATATTCCGTACTTTCTATTTCTCTTTCTTTCTCTCTCTCTTTTATCTCTCTCTCTCTTTCTCTCTCTCTACCTATCTATCAATTTATCCATTTCCATCTATTCATTCATCCATCTATTCATCTATTTGTTCCTATAACTATTTATCTCTTTTCCTCTTTTAATTTTTCAATCTTGCTCTTTGTTTTCTTAACCATCTCCGTATTTTCTCTCTTCTTCTATTCCTTCATCAACCTATGTCTCTCTTTCAATCATTTTTTTTTCATTCTCCAATCCATCTATCACGAGCACTTTTCCACGTAATTTTTCAACCTGAAAAATATTTTTCACGTTATTAGGCGGTTCATCAACCTTCGTAAACCAATTATTTACATCCGCTTTTCTCCCATCTTGTCCTCTCTCTCTCTCTCTCTCTCTCTCTCTCACACACACACACACACACACACACACACACAGACACTCTTCTCTCTCTTTTTATTCTCTCCCTTACACTTTCTTTCTATTTTTCATTCTATCATCTCTTTTTTTCTCTTTTCCATTAAAAATCATCTCTCTCTTTCCTCCACAAAGCTTCTCACTATTTTTCACACACACTCTCTCTCTCTCTCTCTCTCTCTCTCTCTCTCTCTCTCTCTCTCTCTTTCTCTATCTATCTCTCTCCAGGTGGAGTTTATAATTGTGTATTAGAAATGAGTGACCTCCCTCTATTCAAATGGTAAGCAAAGGAAGGAGAATATTTTTCTCAAAAATGTGATTTTATATTTCATAACATATTCCATTTTCTAGTTTATCCACCCTTCGATATTATTTTAAAAATGGATGAAAACTTGGGCGTTCGTTCTCGAGCTTCATTATAAATTCAACAATTTTCGATTCTGCTTTTTACTCCTGGGAGTCTTTTTGATCATATTTTTAGGATAAAAATGTCATTATTAAAGAGAAAAAAAATAATTTTTTTGTATGTTGTATAATGTGAAATCATTTTTTGTGTGTTTTTTTTAATGTGAAATAGTTTTTAGCATGGTTTTTAACGTGCTTTTGGTAAAACATATCCTTATGCGTAATATTTTTCTATTGTTTTCACGGTTTTAGAAATAATTAAAAAAACTAAGTGGATGATTTTTTTTGTTGACAGACCAGAAAATGACTTATAGAGTAGTAATGTTTGTTTGGTTTTGCCGGTTTTGGCCTTGAGATGACGTAATCAAAAATATATTCAAGGTTTCTTATTAAAATTATTCAAATTTATAAATAAAACTTTAAAATAATTTGTTTTATTTTGCTAAATTTTCTGTTTCAAAGCTAATTTTTTCATCCATAAGATGTCGAGTTCGTAATTCAGCCGTGTTTCGGTTGGCTAATTGGAATAGCAATTTTGTTATTTAAGTATCATTAAATAAATTGAAAATAATATTTTAAATGTTTTTATCTTTTAAACCACCTTTTAATTAAATTTTTATTTCGAAAATGTTGGAAAATACGATAATTAATATTACCTCAGAGCTTCCGTGGTAGGTCAAACGAAAATTTGTAGCTAAGTTCATTTTTAGCTGTTCTTAGGAAATTAAGTGTACAAAAAGCTTATTTTTCAATTAAATTTTTCAAAAATTCGTAAAATATTTCTTAAATAAGTAATTTATTTTATTTGTTTTTTAATTTTTTTATTGAATTTTGTTTAAATTTCTGCAATCAGCCAAAGATCTCAAATGAAACCCGAAATTAGGGAAAAACAGGTGGTTGTTAGGCCGGAATTCTACGAGACGAGTTTAGTGTACAAATTTACGGACATCATCAAAGGGGTCTACGTTTTGCCTATCACGGCGTTTTTTTCCTGCATTCTGCTGTCACTATATTTTAACTTTGAGGCCACCACGAACACCCACTGCAATGTGAGTACTAAGTTAAAATTAAAAGTTTTTTTGGAGATGGTCTGTTTGTAATTAATTATTTAATTAATACTAAAAATAATTTTCTGTATAGATATCTTGTTTTTAGTACATTAACAATTTAATTTGAAATATTTAATCATTTTAATTATAATGGCTAATTACTTTTATATAAATTATATTATAGCTATGAATTTTTAAGGAAGACTTATATTTTTATCTAAAACTCCAACCAAATGCTTTGTCAGTTATCCAAATTTTTTTAATAAAATTTTATTTACTCATTGAAAAATTCAATATACAATAAAGTAAATTTGAAAAAAAATTTTTCTCTTATTTAAAAAGGTTGAAAATTATCTGCCATCAGTTAGTGCTGCCATTGGTACATTTCCACTTCAGAAATTCCTCTGGCAATATCTCATTGCCCTACACACTCCCCCAAGATTATTTGTGGCCTTCCTGTACAGATCGTACTTCAAAACATTCAATAGTTTGTCGTCGGGGTCTGTTTTCTTGAACCTGGCTGTAGATGTCATCACAGTCACTGATCTTATAGAGAATTTGAGTTTGCTCTTGCTGACTATTGTCTCTTCCAGAGAAAATTATTGTAATTATTTTATTTTTCAAATAATGTTTAAATTTAATGTAATAATAATTTTCATATTTTCTTTTAATTTTGTAATTTACATTTATTTGATAATTATTTTTGGCAAAAAAAATTTTAAAACTTTAAAATAAAATTAGCTGATAAACGTTTAGACTTTCTTTTTATAGTTGTTTTATTTAAAACCTACCTGCTATATCTTAATTATAATAATTACAAATATTATATAACTATTGTGAAGAATGGTAATAATAACAATAATGAGATAATTAATTTCAAGATTATCACGAGAAAGCCTTCCTCACGTTTTTATTCACATCGCAAGTTCACATGCTTCTCAAGATTTTCCTCATAAGGAAGCTGAAAAATGACCCGCAGTATTCAGATACAGTGGGCTAAATTAGTATTTTTATTATTATTTATTCATAAATTTTATTTATTTATGATAAAATTTGTGATAAAAAATATTTCTTAATGAAATTCAGCTGCAGAAATCGTTGAGGATTAAGACAATGTTGTGGCTAATAAATATAACAGCTGTTATTTTGTCTGCTTATTTTTTCGTCAGGCATAATAACCACTGCGAAACTGGGGGTAATTATATTAATAATTATTATCTATTTGAATAATTATTATAAATAATTCATTATTTTATGACAATATTAAGATTGCCGAGTTGGTTAGATATATCAGTTAAAAACTCTGCTATTGAGTCTTTGTAGCGTTTCTTTTAATCTGTTAGGCCATCAGTCTGATTTTATGTCTTACCTTCATTATGAAAATTTATAATAATATAATTAATAAAATTATTTAAACAAAAATTATAATTAATTATAATTAAATTGAAAACTACCCACATACGCCCACTATAAAGTGTACACCCTGTTTGCCCTCTGCGAGTACACCATCGTCCTAACCAACATCGCCTACCATGGTACGGGGTTTCTGGAATTTTCTAACACTGCTATGACTCTGGAAATCGGCGCCCTAAGTAAAGCCAAAAGTAAGCCTTCTTAGGGGTGGTTTTCTAGGTTGAAAGGAACTTTGAAGCACTGCATAATGTCGCAAGATTTATTTCAATTGTTTTTGTTCATCTCATTTTGATATTCTCTCTCTCTTTTTTTTCTTTCTCTCTCTTTCTATTTCTCTCTCGCACTTTTTCAAGATTGAGCATCTCTTTTCTCTCTCTCTCTCTCCCTCTCTCTCTCTCCATAATGTCACGAGATTTAGTTTAGTTGTTTTTGTTCATCTCATTTTGATATTCTCTCTCTTTTTTCTCTCTCTCTCTCTCTCTCTTTCTCTCTTTCTATCTCTCTCTCTCGCTCTTTCTCAAGATTGAGCATCTCTTTTCTCTCTCTCTCACTAAATATATGAATTTTGATTGGTCGTGACGTTTCTTCTTCACAAAACGAAGACAGATATTTCGTCCCAGGCATGCATAACTGTATATAACTACGTGATTACTGTTAGAATTAGTGAATTTATAGATAACATACAAACGAACATACAGACATACAAACGAACAAACAATAATAACATACAAACAGACAGACAAATGCACGAACAATGATAATAACGACGTTGTTTTTGTTTGCTTTTGTTTTGTTATACTCACTAATCGTATTTCGTTTTATTTATTATTATTATTATTATTATTGATTAATAAATCTACTTAAACATAAATAAATGAGTCATCATGATGATGATGATGATGGTAATGTAGATTGATAAAAGAAAGTGTTTAATGTCTGTACTAATTTAATTCAAATATGTGTGTGTGTGAGAGAGTATGTGTGAGTGAGTGAGTGAGTGTGTGTGTGAGTGAGTGTGTGAGTGAGTGAGTGTGTGTGTGAGTGAGTGAGTGAGTGAGTGTAAATTTCAATACCACCAATAAAGTGTTGCCTGTTAGTTTATAACCAATAAGAAAAATTGAAATGCCGGAATGCGTGTTCCTATTGAGAAAAGTTAGCAGAAGTGTTCCAGCGATCATATGTAACTGTAGTTTCCCATCGTGACGTCATCGTCGCCATGGTTGTAGTTGTTGTATGTGGGATTCAAGATGGCCGATTGAGCTTTTCTACTCTCTTTCAAATTTTGAATTTGAACCTGAATATGTTTCGTGTATGGGTTATTAGAATTGAAACAAATTTAATCGCTTCGTCATCATTAAACCTACAATAATAAATAATCTTCATAATAAGATCAATGTCATGAATTAGTGTAGTGGTTAAAGAGGTGACTGCTTGCTACATGCAGTGACCCGTGCAAATAAGCCATGTGAAGCGTTCTTGATTCATCAGTTAGTGTTCACGGCCCACAAAGCTATTTTGTGCCGCCCCCCACGGGGCCTTGTTCGTGGGGGGCGGCATAAAAAAGATTGTCAGCCAGACATGACCGAAAAAAGGAGCTACAAATCTTGACAAATTCGTCGAAAAACTTTGCTATTTAAGTACATATGCAGCCCTTCAAGGGTAAAATAGTTCTCAATGCTGACCTAACGGCAGAAAGTTTGCTGACCCCTGATCTAAGTGTTGTGTGTGTGTGTGTGAGAGAGAGAGAATAGTAAAGAGTAGTATGATTGATTGAGTAATTAATTAAGTAGTATGATTAATAGAGTAATTAATTGAGTAGTATGACTGGTAGAGTAATTAATTGACGCTCATTTGGAAATTCAAAATTAAATCTCTGAAAACCATGAAAAGCGTGTATTTCTATTAACAAATATTTTATGGTGAAGTGAAAGCAATAGCAATTAAAATACTAATCAATAATAACGACAATAATAATAAATGATGATAATAATAGTGAATAATAAATAATAATAATTCTATTGATTGTACTTCAGCTTTTTTGGTCGTGTGTTTCAATGAACTCGTTCTTATTTGCTTGACTTCCTTATTATTAATATTATTATTGTTATTATTATTATTAATGTTATTATTATTATTGTCGTTATTATAACTTTTTTTATTGATGTTTTTCAAAAAATCATCCGAATGAATTTTTAGACCGCTACTTTTTCGCCTCATCAGAAGTTTCTCATCTCTCTCCCGCTTAAAAAAAGTTCGGCGCCTCAGCAAACTCACAGACACATCCCTAACTACAGTAGATTCATAGTCTTTGGTGTACGTGACGTCATCGTCGTCGTCGTAGTTGAAATCGTAGTAATCATCTTGGTTAGATTCGCGATCTTTGGTATTTTTTTGGCTACGATGTTGCGGATCGGATGGATGTTTGGTGTATAAATTGGGTAGAATTCGATGACGATTATTATTATTATTATTATTGTTATTATTCGTTTTTTTAATAAATTCATCGCCTGTTTTGCTTTTATCTTTTCTTCTCTTACCATTTGTGACGTCATCATTGTAGCTTCCATTTTCGTCATCATCACCATTATTATTATTATCATCATCATTATCACTACTATAATAATTTACATCATCATCATCATGATGAACAGTCTGATCATCATCATCGTCGTCGTCGTCATCCGATTTTGGTAGCAAAGAAATCATTGTTATTATTATTATTATTGTTGTTGTTGTTTTAGTTGGTATCATAAGTAACATTATTATTGTTTGTATAGTTGTTAAGTATGCACACACACACGCGCGCGCACATACGCACACAGACAAACATACACAGAGACACGCAGACATATATAGTTGAGAACTTACGTAAGAAGAGCTGTTGTTAAACTCTTTCTTCAGACTTATCGCCTTATTAAATTGAAGTTAATTAAATTGAATTATTAGAAAATGAATAATAATAATAATAGTTATTATTTTTATTAGTAGTAGTAGTGGTAGTAATAATAGTAGTAGTAGTAGTTGTAGTAATAGTGGTAGTAATAGTAGTTGTAATAGTAGTAGATTTGCTATTATTGTTATTAATTTTTAATAAATTTGGTATTGTTTAAATAGAAATACAGCTACTACCTTTCTTAATTTCGTATTTTCATTCTTTGCTTGAGAATTTTGAAAAAAATTTTGACTATAATTGAGTCAGTTAATCAATCAATCAATCAACTAATCACTCACCCAATCAATTAATCAACCAATTGAATTCATGTTATCGCGCAATTCATAAACGAAACATTTCAACAGGAAAAATCAATCTAAAATTACAATTGCATCAAACACAAAACTACACACACACACACGCACGCACGCACTCTCTCACACACCTACATACACTCTCACACACACACACACCTGCATACACACACACACGATTTACCACGAAGAGAAAGTTTATGGCCCGCGGACGATATATCCCTTCTGTTAAAGTCCCCATCATCAGGTATGGAGTAGGGGGTTTTAAGTACCCCCCTTGCGGCGAGACCCTCTTCGTGCCCCTCATATATACTCATCTGAGGCGCTTTTGATGATGACTTCAGTGAGTGGTGAGGTGAGTGAAGTGGCGATGGTGGCGATGGTGATGAAGGTAACAGAGACGACGATGATGTGTTGGCTTGTCGGTTTCTATTTTTCGCGAAATTTTTCCCCGCTGCTGTGAAAAAATTATGGAAATCTATGAATCACTAAGGATGTCGTCAGTCTCTTTCCGACTCTATAAAGATGGAGATATATGTATGTATCTATGATCTAACTATCTGTCTATCAATCTATCTATTTTTCATGATATATGAGTATGTATCTGTGATCTAACTATCAGTCTATCTACTTATCTATTCGTCCATCCATCCATCCATTCATCCATCTTACGTATTTTACAACAAAATTTAATCAATTTATAATAACAATTAGCTCTGTAGCGATGTTTAATGTTGTGGTTGAAGTCGTAGCTGTCGTTTTTGCGGTTGCGGCTGTCGTAATTGTGGCTGTGGCGGCTGTGGTAGTGGTTGCTGTTGCTGGTTTTTATAGCTGCAGTGAGGAGGGCAAGCAGTTGTTGGCGCATTTTTTGGATTTTTATACTCTCGTGGTAGTTCAAGTCCACGTTCAACTGCTTCCTTCTCTCGTCTTCCTACAGGAATGTAATAATAATAATATTTTAATTCACATTTTTATGAAAGAATGAACGAATGAATGAATGAACGAATGTATGAATGTACGAATGAATGAATAAACAAATGAATGAACGAATGAATGAACGAACGAACGAATAAATGAATAAACGAATTGAAACACAATTAAATTATAAATTGAAAAAAGAAATAGGGCCACCATTTTGTGTGAATTTAATAGGTAATCAACGACATTGCCTCGATAAGAAACTCCATTATTGTTGTTGCTGTTATTATTATTGTTGTTGTTGATGTTATTATTATTATTGTTGTTGTTATTATTAATTATAAGTTGAGCGTTCGTGTCAACGCCATAATCTATCAACAATGCCACCTGAAGATTAGCAGGAGAGAATGAAATAAAAAAATCGCTAGATAATTAATTAATTATATAATTAATTAATAATTAATTATTCATATACTAATTACCTTAGTAAACATATTTTAATTACGCTTTCATTTTATTATTCTCTCTCTCTCTCTCTCTCTCTCTTTCTCTCTCTCTCTCTCTCTCTCTCAAGCATCCATAAATACAAATCTATATATAAGATAACCGACCAATCGCATTTGTTCTTCGTGTGACCTCATCTGACCTTTGTTGTCCAGGGCAACGCATAGAACGTGCTGTAAACTGCGACCTAGTTTCACGTTGACGTCACAGTTATTGTCCAATAGGATTTTAGCTAACTGGGTCAAGAAACGAGGAAAACATTTAAACTTCTTTTAATGGTGTAACTTTCAATGTCATTATTATCACTGCTACACGACTCGACTAAGTTGTGAAACTGAATAACAAGAGAGTAACTATTTAACTGACAAAGCGTCAAATATAATTTAAGCCGTATTTGGCATCTATTATGGATTTTACGCAGTTTTTCTCATTTTGATTCGTTGTCAAACACTTGAAATTGGAAACAATTGGATTTTGGAATTTCGTCTAGGGCTAGTCAAGGGCTTAACTCACCCTGGCTGCCAGCCACAGCAGCAGTAGCAGTAGTAGCAGTTGTAGTATAGGTAGTAATAAGTTTTCACTGTAATTTCCTAACCTCAATGTTATTCCTTGAGATAGAATATGATAGGGCAGTATGCCCGCCACTGAACAGCGCGTTCGTATTCGCCCCGTTGTCAATTAGTAGCTGAAGTAATTTCGAAGTAACCTAGTAAATTATGAAAAAATAATTTACTACAATTATTAATATTACTGTTAATATTGTTAACTTTTTGTCTTTGGTATATCTCAGAGGTATCAAACAGAACAAACAGTGCACGTGAATACGCACAGGAATCCACGCGCGCGCGCACACACACACACACACACACACACTGCATGTGACAGGCGGGGATCTATTTGCATTCGAACTTGGTCACTTCAACAGACAGAGAGCCGAACCAGACGCCTTGACAAAATCCTTCCAGTCTCTACCTTATCGTCGTTATCGTTGTAACATCTGGAACATACAAGCTCCAATACGTTTATCTTTTCTGGATTATCTGAAAATAAATTAATAAATTTAGTATAAATTGAAGTAATTTTTAGTAATATTAGTAAAAAAGTTAGAGTCGCAACCGATATTATTATCGTTAACATTAGCGCCGGCTTTTAAAAGGATGTTGCACATTGGTATACATTCTTTCCCTCTTAGTAAGCAGGCATGTTGGAGAATCGGAAAAGTCTGTGTATTAATGATCAGTGATTAGTGGATGGATTGACAGTTAGTAAATGAATGAACGAACGAAAGGATCAAATATAATGATTGATTGATTGATAGGTGGGTGAATGAATAAATGAATGAATGATGAAAAAATGATTTAATAATATAGCGCGCTCTACCTGCTGGTACATTTCAACAAATAAGCTTACAAAGAAACAGAGCGAATGATATATTTGTGAAGTATGTTTGGATGAAATTAGGAAATTAGTGGATAGATTGACGGCAAGTAAATGAATGAATAAATAAATAAATGAAATAGATTGACTGATTGATTGTCTAATAATTGAAAAATAAAGTATGATACATTTTCTGCCTCACGCAGACTAGTCTTATACAAAATGGAATAAAAATGATTTAGTTTAAATATCTTTTAAAAAAAACCTTTACACTTCCGGCTTTGTAATTATCATCGTCAGCATCACCACAACTGCCATAATCGTCATCGTTTTCATCTTCTTCCTCCCCATCCTCATCATCATCATCATCATCATAATAATAATAATCGTAATCGTAACCAACGCATCTGACGTTAACGTTGGCGCCATTTTCCACCATCAACTCGGCCATTTTGATGTCACGTGCTCTAACTGCTAAAAATAGAACTGGGTCGAGGTCGTTGCTCTGAAGGTTAAGGTCGGCTCCTCTTCTCAACAATAGTTTTATCGTTTCGGTCAGGTCCGGCCCATGAGGGTTATTATTTTTACTGTTGGTGATGTTATTTACGTTATATATTTTGCAATTGTTACCGTTATTGGTGCTATTGTTATTACTATTTTTGTTTTTATTATTATTATTATTATTATTATTATTATTAAGTTCGTGCCATTGCACTTCAATAGGTTTGTCGGATTTTTGCCTTTTTATCGTTAATAAGCTTTCAGGCAAATTATTATTATTTATACTATTATTAGTAGTAGTTGTAGTAGTTGTTGTAGCAGCAGTAGTAGCAGCAGTAGTAGTGGCAGCAGTAATAGTGGCAGCAGCAATAGTAGTAGTAGTAGTATTTTTATTACTATTCCTATTATTATCTCTGAAGTAATTTCCGTGGTTATAATTACTCTGAATAATATCAGCCATCCTAATCCTCCGATCCTGAAACTTCAGAAAGTGAAAGTAGCAGGTCACGTGCAGTGGGGAAAACCCAAAATCGTTCGCTTTATTTACGTCTGCTCCGGAGTTTAGCAAGAGGTCAATGATCTCGTTTTTGCCGTTGCTCTGTGTGGATTGTTAGATATTTCTATTTTATTCATTCGTTCGTTCTTTCTTATATTCGTTCCGTGTTTTTTCATTCATTCATTCATTCGTTCGTTCGTTCGTTCGTTCGTTTGTTCGTTCGTACATTCATTCACGTGCATTCATTCATTCATTCATTCATTCATTCATTCATTCATTCATTCATTCATTCGTTCATCCATAATTTACTTCTCCCTCCTTACATTCATTTATTCGTTCTTTTATTTATTCAGCCATTCAAAACAACAGTCAATCAACTAACCGCTGCTCCGATTAATCCGGTATTTCCATTGATGTCAGCGACATCCACATGGATTTCCCTGTCCTTCAAGAATTTTTTCACTAATTTAATCCTACCTGACGAGCAAGCTTCTAAAAACCCAACGCATCTCCTCTCGATTGGGCGTTTGTACGCTGCTAAAAATGAACTTTTAACTTCGGAGCATTTGTTATTGTTATTAAGATTTTGGTTATCATCATCATTATAATCGTTATTAGTATTATTATTATTAATATTATTTATAATAATATTATTATTATTCAAGTTAAGTAAGAAGTTTTGATTAATATATATCGGGAAATTTTTTACAAGTTGACGAGCGTTTTGTTGTTTTATCTTGTTGCTATGTGAAGGTTTGAAACTTGATGGTGGATTTTTGATGTTGTTGTTGTTGTTGTCGTTGAGGATGTTGTTGATTTTGTTGTTGATGATGCAGTTGCTGCTGTTGTTGATGATGATGAACCCAGCCAAAAAGACAGAAAGTTTCCTCGTTAACTCATCAAGTCCTATTTCTCTCGTGACTTTACGTTGAAAAAATATTGGAAAAAACGTATAAATATTATTAAATAAATAATCATTAATAGTAGTTAAAGTTGGAGGCAGTAAAAGTTTTTTGGTCGCATCGTGCGGTAGGAAAGGATGGAAAATCTGACAACTACTGGAGTGGAAAGATTGCAGGGAAAGAGATCGCGATCAACAACGAACAACACTCGTGAAGTCCTTGGGTCACTTGTTGAATATCACCACCATATTTCAACTACTACAAAGTCTTAAAGATCGGGTTTTGTGGAGGTCGATGGTCGCCAATGTCCTGAGAGGATAAGGCACGAGAATGAAGAAGACTTATTTATAAAAAAAATTCACAAATCACAACTACAAACAATCAGTATCACAACGTGATCGTTAAGAATTAAAAATTAATATTTTCAATGGATTTTGCTTACAACTCGGGGCCGGATTTAGAGAAAGTTGAGTCCGCAAAAAATTCCTATAATGCATCTTTAAATTATTTCTCAGTTGAATTCTCGTTGGAAACGAAGGTTTTTCAAAGAAAAATTTTTGTTATTGATTTGAAATTATTTTAATTAAGAGCTTCTGGCTGAATAATTAGTGGTTTCGAAAAATCTATCGGGGCATCTACAAAGCAAGAGGAGACCTGCATCTGCAGTTGTAAATCCCACACCGCTGCCACAACTGCTGCAAACGTTGCTACAACTGCTACTACAGTTACTACTACTACTACTAATAATAATAATAAAAAAAAAGAACAACAATAATAATAATAATAGTAATAATAATGATGAGGTACTTTGTTGGAAGAATAGGTGTTTCATATTAGCTGAATTTCTAAATCTCTCGTCAAATAATTCTTTATTGATTGAATAACTGGAGCGTGGAAGACCGTTTAAAAAAATCGCCACACCGCCATTTTCTATTTTTGATTGATTCGATTTTGACAATTTTTTGAAATATTTCTCCGATATTTCTTCCGAAAAACTCGGCTCTGGGGGTTAAAAATACGTATCAATCCGTAAATACAATGTATATATGTAGGGTATGATACTAATGTATTTGTTAGTGTGTGTTTTAGTTTGTTTGTTTGTTTGTGTGCGTGTATGTGTATGTTTTCGTGTGTATAGTTGATTATACATCAAATAATAGGCAAGGATACATGTATGTGTGTTATTTTATATAATTAATTAGTTAATTGATTAAAAAATAGAGAACAAAAAATTGAAGATATAGCTGGTAATAAATATTATTATTAATATTTTATACGCTTGTATATAGACATGTATATATATATATATATATATATATATATATGTGTGTGTGTGTGTGTGTGTGTGTGTGTGTGTGTGTGTGTGTGTGTACCTTTGTGTGTATGTGTGTGTGTGTGCGTATCAAAATGAAAAAAATTAACACCAAACCTTTTTGGTAAGATAACGTACAAGTATTATTATTATTAGTAGTAGTAGTATTGGTAGCAGTAGCAGTAGTCGTTGTTGTAGTAGTAGTAGTTACAACAGTATTGTTGTTGTTGTCGTCGTTATTGTAACCTTTACTGTTTACAGTCATCAATTTATATAACCGATTGACGCTTTTGAAGCATTTAACTTTGGCACACATCCTAGCTAATTTCTTGCCGAACCAGAGGCCAATATCAAACTCTTCGATATCTTTGTGATCAGGTGTCAATAGTAATTTAATTCCGGGACCGTTTTCAACGTTAAACCTGTATATACCCTTGTGGTAGATGAATTTTTGTGTACTAATCACAAAACTTGTTAAATAAACTGAAATATTTTTTACTACAATAAAACAAGATTTATTGCCCTCCAACGCCAAACCACAGCCTTCCTTCTCGTCCATGTAGAACGTCCCAACGTGAAAATTCCCGTTTTGCCATCTGTAAATCCCAAATCCGTGGAAATGATCGTTGCAAAATTCACCTACGTACATCTTTTTCGGGTATAAAGTAATTTTTTAAGTATTTTTAATTATGTTGAGTATAACGCAGATAGTATTAACTATTAAAGTACAGAGCACCACAAAAATTTATATTTCAACATGCAAAGCCAAATTTCAATTAGTTAAAACTTTAATTTTATCGCACTAAACTTCTTTATCATTCCATTTTTGACGGCCAAACCCATGTCTAACTTCACCCATGTAAGTACCATCATATTCGCTACAGTCCGACCACTTCTTAACGCCTTTGTAAACGAATAGCGGAAATTTTTGATCAGTTTATGAAATATTTTTAGATAGAAAATAAGGTTTTTTTTTAAATTTATATAAAAATTTGTTTAAAATACTAATTATCATATTCTCCATACTTGAACCAACACTCGCACTTGTCATGGTTTTTTAAAAAATAAAATTTAAATTTAACGTTTACAATCGAGGAAAAAACATTTTATGTAAATTTATAATAATAAATTCTGTTTTATTTTCACACATATTACATTAAATCATAAAAAACATGACCGGATAATTTAATAACTAAATATTAGAAATGTTTGATAAGATCTTTAAATTTTAAAAATATTTCTATAGCAACGCTAGACTCTTGTTAAAAGTAAACCGAGGTTTTGAATGTTAAAATTATTTTTGCGACACCTAGTGAACTTTTTCATATAATATTTTGAACTGTCAGTTTAAATGGTTACTAGCTTTACATTTGCCTAAAGTTATATTTTAGCATTTTCATTAAATGAATACTAATTTTATTAAAAACCAATGTTTTTCAGAGGTTTTAATTCAAAAATGACATTTTTAGAATCGACTCACATCTAAAACCTTATATCCATATTCAAATGAAACCGTCTAATACGGAGCAACCCAAAATACAGAACATTAACACAGAGAAATGTTTTTTTTTGCTAAAAAATTGCACTTGAAGTCATAAATGACAATTTCCTGATCATATATTTTAATTTAAAATCACATAAAGACAGAAAAAAAAACAATTGACGTAATTTCATCAAAATTTAAAAGTTATCTAATCATTTTCCAAAAAAATAAAATATAATAAATATTATTAAATGAAGTCTTCTATTTGGTCGGCCTCAATCTAGGAACTTTCCTCCCTTTAGGAGTTAGGCAACCGCCCCCAGTGATCTCTGATTGGTAGTCCAAGTATGGAACGCCAATCGATCTTCCCTAAAAATTTATTAATTCTTAATTAATTTTAATTAAAATAATTAATATAATTTATTCATTTATTTACTCAACCCAATCATAAAATTATGAAGTAATTAAAATAACATTCATCTCGACAAAAAACCAAAAAAAATGCAAGGCAAAACTATAGAACAGCACTGACATTGAAGTCCTGGTCGAACATTTCTTTAGGCAGATCGACGGCCCCCACCAGCAAGCAATTCACTAATTCTAACGAATCTGCCGGAACGTTAGTTGCAATGCTCACACATCTCGACTTCATGTCTATGGAGTAGACAATGCCTGTTGTATGCAAAGAATAATAATTAATTAATTAACTAATTAATTAATATTAATTAGGCAGTTAATTAATTAATTAATACTTTGATCCTCATCTTCTCCTTTATTATTATTATTATTGCCATCATCATCATTATCATTATTTATATTTTGAACGTACCACCAACCTATTCCTTTACTTTGGCAAACCGGCAGATCTTTCAAAAAGTTGGGACAGCCCTTCATCTTGGACTTTACAATCTGGAAAATGAATTTTCATCATTTTATTATAGCCTATAAAACGGTTATTATAGTAACCAACCAAACAACCAACCAACTGGCCAACTAACCAACCAATCAACTAGCCAACTAACCAACCAACCAATTAGCCAACTAACCAACCAACCAACTAACCAACTGATCAACCAACCAACCAATCAACTACAACCAACCAACCAATCAACTACAACCAACCAATCAATCAACAACCAACCAGCCAACCAACCAACTAAACCAACCATATCCTCCTCGACTACACACAGAGAACAGAATCGACCATTGAAAGCCCTCAAAATTAGTGAATTGGGAACTTGCTCGTGGCAGACGTGCAGAGCCAAAGAATCCAAAGACACCTAATAGTAGTAATAACAAAAATACCAAAAAGCAAAAACAAACAACAACAACAACAATAGAGGCAATAACGAACTTTGTATATAGGCAAGTTGCAATAATGGTGATTGTTATTAGTACAGTTGCTATAGTTACTGGATTTCAAGATCAGGTCAAAGTTCAGGAAGTTGGCAAAGAGTGTCAAGTTCCTCGTGTCAGCTGCCGTCAGACTAGACCTAGAGGAAGTGCTGTTAACATTTCTTTGGTGTCAATACCATTTATTATTATTATTATTGTTGTTGTTATTGTTGTTGTTACTGTAACTTTACAACAATGAAACCAACGAACTTAAGTGACGAGAACTCGCTCTTCAAACAGTGCAAGCTATAACTGATGACCCCACGACTGTCACGGTCGTCATCAATAGGTGGTAATGATAATGATGATGGAGATGATGATAATGATGGTGGTGGTGATGATAATGATGATGATGGTGGTGGTGGTGATGATGCTGGTGAGGACTCTGACGATGGTGATAGCATATCGTCACTGCTGACAACCTGAATGAATTGAGGGTAAAGAATTAACGTTGAGTTCGTTTATTCAATTGTTCATTTATTCGTTCGTTTGTTCGTTCTTTCGTTCCATTATTAATGAAATTATCCATTTATTCATTCATTCAAATACTAATCCATTCATTCGCTCATTCATTTATTCTTCATTCATTCATTCATTTATTTTCGATGCATTAATTCATTCGTTCATTCTTTAATTCATTTTATTCATTCGTTTATCCATTCATTTATTCATTCATTCTTTCATTCCTAAAACCACTCATCCAATAACTGTTTCTTCTTATCATTCATTCATTCAATCAATCAAATCCATGAAATAAAACGAATAAGCCACAAAAAAGGAAGCTAACATTTAGGTCATAAAAATAATTAGATTCGTTATTAATGATCTTTGGTAACATGAGGGGGAAGTTAGCCTTGAAACAGGGTCCGTCTAACTGGACTAACATGGCGGGCTTCACTAATTTTAGTGTCTCGACGAATAAACTGAGACCCAAACCTGATGACGATGACGACGATGATGATGAAGATGACGATGATGATGAAGATGACGATCGTAAATCTTAGTAAAAATTAAAACCTTGGTTCCAGCCCATTGTGTTAACAATAAGAGGCAGATTCACAAAATGCTTAAGATAGGAGCTGTGCACTAATTTTAGGCATCTGACGTAGTGCAGGGGGTCCAGGGATGGGTTGACGAATCCGGCAAAACTCGAGCTAAAAATAAATTTTAATAGTTATTAACCAAAGCAGAATTTAAAATTTAATTTACTGAAAAAAGAAATAAATTGCGAGTTGTGAAAAATCTAATTCACACTATTTAAAGAATCAACTATAATAATAATAATAATAATAATAATAATAATAATAATAATAATAATTATACATAATAGTAATAATTAACATTATGATGATAGTTAATGAAAGAGAGAGTGAGAAGAGAAAGAAAAAAACTTACAAGGCAGCCTTTTGTTGATGAGTATATGGAGGACCTATTATGATGAAATGAAAGGGTAAATTATCAACCAGCCAACCAATCGAACAACACACCAGCCAATCAAACAATCGACCAACCAATCAGCCAACCAACCATTCAAACAACCGACCAATCAGCCAATCAAACAACCGACCAATCAACCTATCAAACAACCGACCAACCAACCAAAAACGGGTCTGCTGATGACGTTCAAACTCAGGTGACCTGGGGCGGTGAACTCTGATTGGCCGACATCACACTCCAAAAAAGCTACCCTATCACATCTTCAGTCATGATGATGATGATGATAATAATGATGATGATGATGATGATAATGACGTCATGTTCGTGGTTGTGATGATGATCACTGAGATGATGATAATCACTGAGATGATGATGTAAATTAATAATACAATCAATAATGTAGAGTTAATTATAACAATATTATTATTAATTATAATTAATAATTATAATAATAATAGTAATAGTTACTCGTTGAGGGCACAGTTGAGCAGGTACCTGGCCATTGTAGATTTCCCGCTGTTTTTGCCTCCACACATTATAAGTACCGGACCATTTTCTAGAATTTTAATTATAACTAATCAAAATACATTTATTATCTATAATTAATTACGTTATTACCAATTACCTCTTAATTAATTCTCTCTTTGTTATCTCTCTACTTAAATGATTGTAAAGAACTATGAAATATATAATGAAATTATCAACTAATTAATTCAAATGACCTTCATTGTTGATAAGGTCAGCCCAGAATCTTGCGACATTTTGGAAATTCTCACTAATCTTCACAGACAGGCTGCTATCTTTACTAAACCCTAATTTGGCGACCTCATTGGGGGGTCCAGCGATGCGCTGGTACTTCTTACTGCAGGCTTTCAACCTCTCAAGTAAATAGAAAGGTTTACTTTTAATCATAAAAATGATATATCTATTTTCTTTTCTCAATTTTTTTAGTAATTTTAAGGCCTTGCATGGATTTTTGAATTTCAGAGTTTTATAACAGTTAGAAAATGTTACTGTGTCTGTGATGGAGGTTGCAGTTAGAGTTAGCAGGCCGTGATTTTTAAATGAAAAAATGTCAAACTCTTCTTTTAGTTTAGTGCTGCTACTACTACTGTTACTGCTGCTGCTACAATGATACCCATATATGGTAAAGGTCCCAAAAAGGCACCTTATTGTGCCAGTTCCTTCTAGAATTACCCGTCCGCCAAGTTTTAGTAAGATTATTTGGGATTGGTCTTCGAGGAATAATTTGTATCTGAAAAAATTAATTTTTTTAAAATGTCATTTCACTTTTAAACTGAATAAATTATCGTCATCATTATAAGTTTATGTGGTATATTTTTTCAATTTTTCAACTTTTAAATTGATTGGTATGAAATTTGAAAATATTGTTTAAACTGAAAATAAATGAAAAACACACACACACAAAAATAACAATACAGACTTCTTCTTGAAGTTGAGAATCTTTTTAGATTTTTCTTTCAAATTTTCTAAAGTCTCACTATTAAATCTCCCCTCATTGTCATGATTCACATCATTTTTACTGATATTATCCTCATCATCATCCTTATCATCATCATCATCATCAGCAATACAAACCACATCGCAATCATCACTATAGTCACCAGCATTATCATCAACATAAATAGCAACATCATCATTAAAGTCATCTTTAGTATCAGCATCATTTCTACTCTTATCATATTTTTTATTAAACTTTCTATGTTTTCTGGATTTGCTATTATTATCACTAGGGGCATATATTTTAACTTTTTTATTCTTGTTTAAAAAATCTAAATGACTTTCATTAACATTTTTTCTAAAATATTTTGATTTCTTTAGCTTTACAGACGACGTCGATGATGAAGATAAAGGTATAAAATCGTCATTAAGAACATTCTCATAGGAATTATTAACGCCATCTTCACATGTTAGGCCTGGTAGTGGAAAGACATTTTGCAGCATTTTTGTTTTATTTCCAGTAGATCCAGCATTACTATCAGATGCCTCATAGACATAATACCTCTTTCCCGAAAATTTACCCTTTTTGGAAAAGTTCTTATTGTAAACTGGTTGGTAGGAGTTGGATTCAAAGTCACAAAAATTAGGTTCTTTGGTATTAGGAAAAGTTGTGGCAGCAGTTTGAAAATTTTTTTTTAAATTTAATAATTTCTCTATTTTACGCTTTCTATTTTCCAAATACTTCAATCGTTTTTGTTGACGGGTTAATTTTGACGGCTGTTGTTGTTGTTGTTGTTGTAGGGGAGGCGCCAAAGTTAGGCCCCCCCAGTACGAGTCTTGCCGTAAATTAATGTTCATGTTCCTGTTTGGATTTATTATGTTTTTTGATTTTTATCGGAGATGAAAAAAGTTAGAAGATTTACACATGAATTAAACCTACACGTGCAAACCAAAACAATAGAACGTACTTTAAGTTAGTTGTTTACAAAAAAGTTTATGGAGGGAGGAAAATCTTTTTGAAGTTATTATTTAGTGTTTAGTTTTCTTTGTTATTTTTTCTAGGTTTCATACGCACGCGCACACCCGCACACATACACACAAACCAACTAAAAAAACGTATCTCCAAACTATGACATGAAAATTATGATTAGGAAAAGTAACTTGTTGTTCAAAGTGACGTCATTTTAGTACTAACAACTTTATGTAGAGTGTTTATGTAAAAATAAAAAAACATCCTTCTGTTAGACATATATATATATATATATATATATATATATATATATATATATATATATATATATATATATATATATATATATATATATATATATATATATATATATATATATATATATATATATATATATATATATATATATATATATATATATATATATATATATATATGTAGAGTTTATATAGCGCTCGTTCAAGTTCTCACAAACGCTTTATCCCACAAGTGCGCTTTGATTCTTTTTCTAAAAATCACTTCATCAATCTCATTTGTTTTCAGCTCTGTTGGCAAATCATTCCACATCCTTGGGCCATACACTGCAAAACTTCTTGACGCCATTGATGAGTTTACCAACGGTTTCTGAAAATCATTGTTTTTGGAAGATCTTAAGAATCTACCCGCTACTGTTATTGGTGTTTTTTTGCACAGATCTATTAGATATTTCGGAGCCGAACCTTGCTTACATCGTTTCATCATCACCAAAACTTTGAAAACGATTCTGCTTTCAATTGGCAGCCAATGTAATTCACGAAAAATTGGGGTCACACGGTCATATTTATTTCCTTGTACTATAAGCTTCGCTGCCCTGTTTTGTATTGATTTTATCCCATATATTGTTGACTTCGGACATCCGCTCAGCAAACTGTTGCAATAATCAACCCGACTGACCACAAACGCATGGATCAGAGATTTTGTTGTATCCAGATCAAGAGATACATGGATACATCTATGGTTAAGTATTCAACTTTGCAGTGGTTTCGATTTCTATTAAATATAAATTCAATCAAATTTTGTGTCCGTTCGTGTGTGTGTGTATTTGTGTTGTTGATGAACAATTAGGAGAAAATCGTACATACATACAAACATACATACATACACTTGAAACAAACTAAATTGCAACACCAATAGAAAGTAAAAATACAAACCGTCCTCTGTTCACTTCGTACTATATGAACGGTGAACTGATGCATTGTGTATTATACATCACCATATTTATTTGCACGAGATTTATAAACGACATAAACACACACACACACCATTGTACGTGAATACACGTCCATTGCACACATTGCATAGCCCCTGAAGATGGGAATGTCCTGGCATTCAAACAATTTTATATAACACGTTTTACGTTAATTAAATTAAAATGTTCTCAAATCATCGATTGATGCGTTCATTTAAAAATTATTCAGTTGTGCAGTGCAGTTGTGCGTGCCTAAATTTTTGAGAAACAGATGACATGTGCTAATTATAATATTCTTATCGGCTGCCTGAGTAAGAGCAAACAAATTCTTCTTTCGAATTATTTCTGTTTACCTACCTAACGCTTGTTTTCACATTTTCCATGGTAACCATTTGAGTCACATATTATTATACACTCATTATAAATATCTACATATTATATATATATATATATATATATATATATATATATATATCAATAATTGCATTTCTATAAATTTCTATACATATATATATATAATATATATATGTATGTATACATATATATGTATACATACATACATACATACATAAAAGACCATAATTAATGCAGTAATTTATAAAATTTCATGAGAGTTCCAAAACTCAAGATTGTAACAACTAAATAAAAAACCGTGTGTGTGTGTGTGTGTGTGTGTGTGTGTGTGTGTGTGTGTGTGTGTGTGTGTGTGTGTGTGTGTGTGTGTGTGTGTGTGTGTGTGTGTGTGTGTGTGTGTTGGTAATAGACCATAATTTTTACAATATTCTATAAATTCTACCAAATGTTTGGCGTTAATATGTTTGTAGTTCGTTTTTTCAATTTTTCTCACTAAAGTTTTAACATAACGTATAACGTATAAACAACAGAAAGCACTGAAGATGATTCATTTGGAATCGAAATATGGCCTTTTTGCAGCATGAATTCGGAAAATAAGTTTATTTTGAATTTTAATAAACTAAACGATCACCAAAAAACTTTAGTGAGAAAAATTGAAAAAAACGAACTAAAAACATATTAACACCAAACATTCGGTAGAATTTATAGAATATTGTAAAATTTATATATATATATAATAATGAGGTAAATCAAAAATGTAGAGTATAAAAATTGAAGAGGGCCAAGGATGAAACCCTGAGATACCCTGAAAGTAAGAGTAGATGAGTTAGAAGTAGAATTATTGAAAACAACAGAAGCAAAACGATTACAGAGATAAGAAGAAAACCAAGATAGACAAGTTTCAGTAATATTAAAACAAGATCTAGCAGCCTCAAGAGAATAGTATGGTCAACAGTATCAAAAGCAGAGGAAAAGTCAAGAGCAAGAAGAAGAGTAAGATTACTATTGTCACTATTGTTTGAAGCCTTAAAGAGAATTGAATTAATGTGACCGGATACTGTGTCTTTAATCTACTTTGTTGATTCCTTGTTTGTTCAAAGTGAACACCCAACGCTCATTTAATAAGTTTTGCAATCTTCAACTTCGTTCATTATAACACTTTTACATGTTTTCATTATCGATGATTCCTCTGTTTCTAAATTTATTGCTAGGAAGAATTCCAATTGCCCATTGTTGAATATCTAATATCGGATGCCTTTGTTCTATGAGTATTGATTCGTCTAGTCGCAAATTATAATAGGGGACATTTATTATGGAATGTCTTTAATCTATGAAAATTGATTCGTCTAGTTGCTCTCTCATGTATTTATATATAAATATCTATTTATTTATATATAGGTATATATTTTTGTTTATATATATATATATATATATATATATATATATATATATATTCATAATGAACGTGGGATGCAGGTTCTTTGGGTTCTTTCAAGGTTCTTTGTATCCAAAGGTTCTTTAAGGGTACTCCAGTTTGGAATATATATATATATATATATATATATATATATATATATATATATAACTATGCTGGTAATAGACTATAATTTTTACAATATTCTGTAGAATATTACAATATTCGGTAGAATTTATAGAATATATAACTATATATACAAGCAATATACATAGACATGCATTGTAATTTTTTAGATATATCAATTATATGTATAAATGTATACATACACCTATTTATGATTTTTAACTAGAATGATTTATGATTTTTAACTTTTTAACTTTTATCATATTCTATAACTTTTATTTAAATTAGAAGCGTTATTTTGAATTTAAATTCCGAAATAAAACATGAGGTTATATAAAATTAATACTAATACTAGTACAATTAATATTACTACTGCTACTACTATTACTACCACTGCTGTTGCTGCTGCTACTTTTACTTCTATTAATAACAATATCAACTGTGCAAATAAAGATTAATAAAGATAGCATTTATTTCGAAAAATTTTAATAATAAAGCAAAATTAAAGGCAGAGGACCGTACCAATTTGACATTTATTAATATAAATACCAAGTATTATAATGATTATTAAATTTAGAAAAATATATTTTTTATTATAGCCAGATGAAGAACGTATTGACAATGTTGATGTTGGTGGTCGTTGTTATAATGATTGTTGCATACTGTGTTGACCGTTATGGAGCCATTCGACAAATGGTTAGGAATTTCTATTTTGTTAATCAACTATAATTAAATCTCTTGAATCTATTTATTAATTAAATCTATTTCAAATCTCTTGAAGTTTTCGAATAACATAAAATCTTTAAAAACAAGACAAAATCACACTTTTTATATTTAGCCATCTAGATTGAATGTTATAAAAAATAGCTTATCAATTACTGCTCCATTGCTATGGGACTGTGTTATTCCTTATAGTTTAAAAAATATTAATAATATTTTTTTATTTAAAATGCGCCTTAAACTTATTGCAGCCAAACTAATCCACGACTTACCATCCTATCGGGCCTTAAGAAAATACATATCTAATTTTGTCTCTTATTTATTTTATTTTATTAATATGTACAGAGATAGGCAGTAATGTAATTCAAGTAACGAAATTACGTAATTCAAATTACAATAATTCAATTTTTAAGTGATTGGTAATTTGTAGTTTAGTAATTTCATCTTTCATATAATTTGCTAATTTCAAAGTAATTTCAAATTAAATTTTGACTAAAAAATATCTTTTATATGCGAGTGAACAGATATACTTACACAAATTATTATTATTATTATTATTATTATTATTATTATTATTGAAAAATTTTTTTTTCTTAAAATTCTAAAAAATTTTTAAATTCTAAAAATTCATTTGATTAGAAATTTCATATGCTACTTTGAAGATTTATGAGCATATTTATGGTCAAAGTTTACTTCTTTGATGTTTGACGCTTTTTTTCTTTTTTTCCTTCGGCAAACTATTTTACCATATTCTCTTCTTTGCATTTCAGAAATTTATCCATGAAGCGGAAAAAAATTTTGAAGAGAATTACAGAAAGACAAAGTTGAAAGTGCACCTACCCCCACAGAACAAAGGTCGCCCGAAGTTACGAAGTTACAATCACAGATCCTGGCCACAAACCGGCACTCCATACATAATAGACAAGCTGCTACGAAACAAAACTAACGGCTTCTTCATTGAATGTGGTGCCGCCGATGGAGAAACGCAATCCAACACACTCTTCTTCGAAGTTCTCCGGAATTGGACAGGTTTGTTGATCGAAGCT